TTTGCCTTTAAACAAAATTGGTAAATCAAAAGCACTAATAATAAGATATCTGCGAAAACAATTCGCGAATGTGTTAATCTTATTTGCATTCCTGTTTGTAATATCTTTAATAGACCTTGCTATCTAGTATGTTGTTTTCCCCAATGAAGGTCCCAGAAGAACTTGACCCTTTGTCTTTTCAAAAATTATTCGTAGATATGCTCGTGAATAAGACGAAATTTGAAAGAAACAGTTCTCTAGAGTATTGTCACATGAGCTGTATTAGGAAAACAAAACATACAAGCTAAAGAGGTCTATTGTTCTTTGACAACAGGCATTTTCCCTAATGACTGCAGAGGTGCTAAAGTTACACCATTATTAAAACAGGGAAGCCCGAAGGATATGAACAATATGGCGGCCATATTGAATTAATTTGATTTGAGGAGTATTATAGGATGCCCAGGGGGCATGAGCACATTTGCGCTCATGCCCCCCTGGGCATCCTATAATACTCCTTAAATCGAATTTATTCAATATGGCCGCCGTATGGGTAAAAAGGTCTATTACCGCCCATTTGTGTGATCTCTGTATTGGCGAGACCACTTTACCTTAGAACTAAATATAAGGAACCATCTTAAATAGCAACCGGATGAAATAAGGGCAGATTTTTGAAGTAACTGAGAACCAAGGACATTATTAAAATTAATATCATGGGTGACAATTTGCTCCTTACTTTTGGCGCGAAATTTCAGCGCTTATACTACTACATGAGAAATTTCTACAATTTGATTGGTTCAGAGCAGTGGTATTTCAGCTTAATTTGAAATACCTACATGTAAAAATTACAAACCTTTTGTGGGGTAGTAGTATAAACAAATAATAGCATGATTTGTACGTGATATTTGGCATAAATACCACTCGCGATATTTCAAAATTGTCTCAAATTTCGCTCGGCTAACATCTCGTGAAATTACGTATAACAATTTCGAAATACCCTCGTGGTGTTTATGCCAAATATCACCACTAATCATGCTATTACCTATACTAATGAATAATTTCACATGTGAAATTCTAAAATTGCCATGAGTACATTCCTTTCGTCTCAGTGACAAGTTGTCGTCAAAGTTTTAAAATGTTATGAATGAAGATTTCAGGGCATTAAAAGACGCTCTAGAAAACTTAAACACACAAAAGAGCACCTCAAGAAGCATTCTATCAGGTATTTTTGTCGAAAAAGTCTGAAAATTATGAACTTAAGCCAAAATTTCTTTCCTGTTCAGGGCGTGGAGTACTCGATCGATAGATAAACATGTCAAAAAAACCAAGATTATCAAGGTAATTTTTCACCCATTATATTAATAGGTAATAAAATGGTATGCTCGTGAAATTACGGGTTATTTTTTTTTTCACTAACGATTTGCCAAATTCTCATAATTTCCCTCTCCTGTTTAGATTTTGATTATTAGAATTCAGACAGAAACCGCAAGAAGTGAATATATTATTCTTTAATTTTACTCGTCACCATTTGATTACACATACAAATCATATTACGCAAATAATGAAATAAAATCTTATGTACAAACAAGTCGCATGTTATAAACCTACAGCTGTGAGCATCTATACAGAAAATGATACTTACACAATCCAGAAAAATCTAAATAGTAATTTTGGATGCAAATTCAACGCCATCTGGAAAAAGTAAGCTTGCTTGACTTCCAACATTTAAAACAGTTTAGTCAGTTTAGTTTAGTTACCGTATTACCAGCAATATCTACAGTTTATGAGTAAAATGTAATAGTTTGGCAATGTAAAAGACTAAAGTATTGACAGGAAAACCCTTAACAGGAACTTCTTCCCTCTTTGAACGGTTACGTTAAGTTTACAAGAAATAAAACTTGAACATCTAATCAAATCATAAATACTTAAACAAGTGGAAAATATGTACAATATTAAACTAGAAATATGATTAAAATATGACGGACAGATAAGTTAAGAGAATGTACTAATATTGTTCTGGTGTGGAAAGGATTTTAGGCGATCTTTAAAGTCGCTCAAAGATTCAATTTTCCTTAAACGTAAAGGTAAAGAGTTCCATGATTTTGCTACTCTAAAAAAGTAACAATTGAAAATTTTAAAGCGTTGGTTCTTGGTATATTAGAGCGGTTTTCACTTGACTGTCGTAAAACCAAAACCAAAGTAAATACACTAGCCAACCAAAGGGCGTAGTAAAACCAAAACCAAAACCAAAACCAATCCCTTTCGACAGTCAAGTGAAAACCGCTCTATTTCAGTGCAGCTGTCACAAGACAAGTAAACATATCCACACCATTAAGGCCTATCATACACTTCAAAAGGAAAACTGGGTCCATAAAAAGTCTCTTTGAGGGTAAGGAAAGGACAAAAAGGAAGTTCACACTGAGGTTCAGTTC